GAGTGTGGATGCCACATATTTGAACACAAAACCAGAGTTTGGACTTGGTCCTCCCATAACCGTCCTCACCGCCTTTTGTAACTATGCATTCGGGACATTTTATTCCTTCTATGCTTTTATTTATGGAGAGATATTTCAAATGCACTGCTGCAATAAGGGACTGTTAGGATGGTGTGAGAATGGTTTTGTGAGGATAAAATCTGATTTCACAAAACCAAAAGACATTTCTTAGAATGCATCTGCTATGAATTCCTATGAAACACCACACACCACCGCTGAAAATTAAAAAAAAAAAAAAAAAAGCAGATAACATGATTTTGAGTTTATTTTCATCCTTAGCGTGTTAATGTTTCATTGGGGTTGCAACTAAGGTTGTGTTTGGTATCATTGTCATTTCAGGCTGCAACGTTTTGAGTAGTGTGGGTGGTGCAAGTTTCAATGGTTAAAGGAAAAACCTATTTGGTTAGGTAAAATCTATGATGCAAAAAAGATATGATATAGAAAGAGTTCTGACCATTCAAAACCTACTCATGAATTTTGATAAATAGCACCTTATTGGCTATCACGTTTATGATTCCAGTTTATTGGTGAGTCAGAAATCATAGTCCAACCCATTTGTATATCATAGTCCAACCCATTTGGTTAATATTTAATGTTTATAGTCTCAACAGCATGATGAAATCCACGATTTCATCAGATTTTATTTTTCTCCAATGTACAGGGGTGTTATGTCTATAAATGTGTTGTCAAGAGTTTCAAGCTGCTTCAAGAAGAAGAAGACAGTGGAGCTTATACAGTGAAGTCTTCTGAGATTATATTAGCTTTGCTTAGAGTGTTGTATGATTTGTGATGCACCGTATCAATTCATCACCATGCCACATTGGATGACAGGTAAGTGCCATATGAGCTAAAACATTGTGAGATGCAATGGCTGTTGGGGGAAACATCAATTTGACATAATTTCCTCCAACGCCCCTGTTGTTATTTTCAGACAAAACGTTTTATAACTGTTTGGAGTTAAAACAGTCTCAATCAAATAAAAAATTCCCATTGCAATTCAAAACGCCTAAGCGGCACTAACGTGATAGGGTTTCAGCTGGGAACGGCAATGGTACCAAACATACCCTAAGGCATCAGGGTTTCCAAACTTGACATGTGGCAAGTTATTATCCTAATCTTTCATATGCATAAGATCAAATCTGCTGCAACCGTGGTCGCATGTGCGACCCCAATGATTTATGAATACACCACCATCTTAAATAAATTGAAGGCATCACATCAATTACTTTTGCATTTAAAAGTAAAAACACCGGTGTGTTCGAATTTCATTTGGAGTCGCATGCGGTGGCAGCAGATTTTTCTTCTGGGTTTTGGGCTCCAAATACAGTGAGAATACATGGTAATTTGCTCTTTTTGCCACCTCCAATAAAATACAGACACAACAGCAATTCTTTTAAACTCAAAATATCGGATAATCAGCTTTTTGATCGCCGGTTGTGAACTCAAATACAACCCGGAGGATCTTTAAATTCTCCCAGGTTCAGTCGTCGACTCGTCGGGCATTTGGTTTGAGTTTCGTGGATGCAAAAGATAGCCAAATCATAGCTGTGTGGATTCTGCCTTTGCGGAACACCGTTGAAATCGGTGAAGATGTTTCCTCGAATGTGCATTAATATGGAGAAGCTGCAGCCCAACAGATCCCCGTGAGTCTTCTCAGAACTGAACTTTGTTTAATCTATCTGTTTTCTTCTTCCCTTTCTGTAGTCACGCTGTCATAGGTGATAGGGCCGCTCAGCTTCAGAGGATCAGCTAGCTGAGCCCTACTTTTCAAGATAGACCAACTCTTGAACCATGAGATGGAGCCAAATTGGGCAAAAGCTATGCTGAGCTCTCCTCTAGCTTGACATCCCTAGCTGTAGATGAGATGGTAGCATGGTAAGACTTATTTTCTTTTATTTGTTTTTCACTTCTAGAGATTGCATTGCATGGCAAATTGATTCACAAAGAATGTAGGATCTCCCTCTCTCTCTCTCACACACACACAATTATTCAATTAATAACATCGTATGCTTCCATAAGAGAAGGGGGAACATGGAAAGCCTCAGTTTGTTTGGATTACAATTTCATTTGTTTTAGTGCAAAAGTTTGTGATTGTAAATGAAGTGGGTTAAAATTTTGATTCATTCCAGGTTTTTCTCTGTTTCTGTTTTGTTTATTTGCAATGTGGATGGAGTAAAATAAAACCTAAGCAAAGCAAAACTGAATAAGAATTTGCAGTGGCATCTGTACTTTTTTCTTATGATGGATACTATGGATTTGTACTAGTGCATATGAAACTGGACCTCAAACAAAAAGAGCGAAGCATATTTTATAAGAGAGGTGGGATTTATCCTCCATTGTCGAAGTATCCTTGCGGGTACGTCATCCGTAGTCAAGCAACATGGGCTTGTAATCTCTAGTACGAAACACTGTTCATCCCAATTAGCCGTCATGCCACCTTGTGGATAAATTAGAGCCCACTGCCCACAGGTTTGCGTGCAACCTTACATCTTCTGCCCACAAACTCTTCCCACATCCCTACCTACAGGTGCATCGTTGCATTGGGATATCTCCCTTGTTATTCATGAAGAGATGTTACTAATACATGGTGGTAGTGTCTTGTGGGTAAGATGTGGAAAGGGTTTGTGGATAGGAAATCTGAAGTGACAGATTGATCCTTAGAAGAGATCTCGAGTGATGGGTTTGGCCCTTAGGAATAGAATGGATTGAAAGTATGTACAAGTTTGAAATTTCACCAACAAATATTATGTATGTATTTGGACAAATTCAAATTGGGTTGGACTGGGCTTGGACTCCCTGAGGCCTCAACTGAAGTCCAACCCAAGTTTAGGTCAAACCTAAGCCCAGCCTGAAGCTTGAAAGCTCAGGCTCCAACCATGCAAAAGCTCGGGTACGGTCAGGTCAAGCTTGAATTGGATTGGAGAGCTTACAGTTTCAGTTGGGGTGGAGCTAAGATTTCTAGGGGCAGAAACCCCCTTCTTCTTATGGATGAGGCAAGTTCCCATCTCCACTACTGGGTCATGTGCTTAACTCAATATTTGTCGGTTTTATAAATAAAAAAAAGATATACCATTTGAACAGCCCATATTTGCTACGACACTAACGTAGCCCTACACTAAAACAACTAAATCAAAGCACTTGATTTGTTGCTGAAGTGACTTCTTGATGGGACTACTGCAGTACATCTAATGCCATTATTTTCTATTTTAGCCATGTGCTGCTAGGACAGTGTATTTGAATATCAAAGGAGAGTAAGAGCCTCCCTAATTGGGTTGTGATTGCACTTCTATCGACTCGTCAGTTCCTATTGATAAGCATGATGACCTAAAAGCTGAGATGGTCACTTATTGTCCCTCCAAAAGTGGAGACCCACGATAAAACTTGTAATTGGGGGGGTCTCCATGGTAAGGTCAATGGACCTCTCTTTCAATGCTTTCCCAATTTTATCTCATTTGCTTAAAAGATTGTATTCTTATCAAATTGATATGAATTTTTTGTTTTCAGAAAATTTCCTCCTACCATAAAAAAAAAAACTGATCATCAATATTGTGAATCTTTTGAAAAAATGTTTTCAAAAGCTTCATGATTCCAAGCAAGAACTTTTTGTCTTTAATCTTTTTAATTAGAATTACAAATCTAAAGTGTGTATTTTCTATATTTAAAAAATATTTTACTTATTTATAACTTAAATGGTGCTCTGTGATATGTTGGAAAAGTCCTTCCTCTGTCTGGTTCTTTTCTGATTTACAGGGATAGTTGTGACTCTAGTAGGCTTACTGTTTTCCTCAACCTGATCAATCGCCTGTCACAGCACCACAATGCCTTAAAAATGTATATATTCACATGAAATTCTCCTCCCAGGCCTCAAATTTTATTCTCCATCTCCAACCATTTAGCTCAAAAGGGACAATTCTATTGTGGAATTCCTTCAATTCTGGGGTAATGATCTCTTTTGACCTGCTTCTTTCATGACTAGAAGAAGAGATATGGTGATTAACAACTTGGAAGCCTCTTGTATAATAGGCTTTTTTCTTGCCTTTTTTCTTAGTGGGTGGATAAGGGAAAGAGGAATTTTAAGTAACTACAATTATCACCTATATATGTTCTAAGGAATTCTATTGACCAAAAAACAGATTACACAGTTTCATAGCTAAATCAATCAGTTGCAACCTAATTTTCTTAATTTGTATTCCCTAATATCTATAGAAGAATCCTTGGACCCTTGGGAGGGGCATTGGCAACGCTGCTTGCTCAGTTTAAATTTAGGCCCATGGACCATAGTAAGTAGGCCAAGCCATGGGCTTACATAGCTTAAGATCAGAAAAGCTAGGCAAAAATATGGCCCATCAGCCACACTCTAGTCATGTGGGTGACGTGGCTTTATTATCCACCGCGAAAATTAAAGAGCATCCCTGAAAGTGAACTGTAACCATGGTTTTGAAAATCAGATCAGACCGGACGGTTGAATTGGTTGACTCGGGCTTGAGCCAAAAAAACGTTGATTTGGTGAGAACCCGAACCGCCTCTATCTCCACTCCATCTTTCTTTTTCTGGGCGATCAATAATGTATATGCCTTCCGATCTTTTCAGCTACTACCTTCAGACTTTTCTCCTTGGATCCTTCCCAATCCCCACTTCTAAAAAGAACTCTACACGCTAAAGCCTCAGAGAAAGACTCTGGGTTTAGCTAGAAGATCTCTATCCAGTTCCATCCGGAATGGTTTTCCTTTGTTGCCAACTAACAAAAGGAACAGAACAAAATATACAGCTATGGTGTGGTCTTTTCGAGAATGGACGACGTCCTTGTATTTTGTTAGGCTTCGTTTGGTAGAGGTGTAAATACAATATTTCATCGCTAGAAATAAAAAACGCTCAAATGTATCAGGATAAAAAATAAACCAGCTGAATACATATTTTACACTCTCGTGCGTTTGGCAAAACGGTGTAAAATCATTGGCGTACAAGTATTGAAGAAGCCATTTCAGGAGCAATTGGAGACAAGGGAAGGGAGGAGATTGAGCAGATTTTTCTGGAATTTACTGTCGGAGGTAGATAGGCGATGGGCAATGGGACGATTAGATGCCTTGATCGTCTGTGAGAGAGAGAGAGAGAAAGGAGGGTCATACGAAGATTGAAACCATGGCAGAAACAGAAGGGTTCCAACAAAGATTGAAATCACGATGTTGAGGGTTATACATTTCCGGCGAAGATTGAAACCATGCGGAGCTGGTGATGAAGCTTCTGCTGAACTGGTTCTGTTTTTGCCTCTGTTCCCATACGAAGCAGGTGATGTATTTATTACCAAATGTAAAATAAAATAAAATTACATATTTACCAAATGCTTGTAAAATCGAACCGGGGTATAAAGTTTACCCCGGTTCAATTTTACACCTCTACCAAACGCAGTCTCAGCCTTAGTAGAATAATAGTTTCCTTACCTTAGCTTTCGATAGACGCTCTTAAGATGTTCATAGCTTAGCACCTGCTAATTGCTATATATATCTTAAGCCACTTTCCTGGGAGAGATAGATCGATCGTCTATGGAGAGACTCTTACTGGACCTGTGGAGATAGAATTCAGTATTCATGGAAATCCCAACTTTTTTGTGTATTCAAATGGACAAGCTACATCTGGGTAGGTCGAGGTTAGTTCCACCAAACAAAACGCTTTGTTTTTCTTCTTTTTTTTTTCGTTCTCTCCTACTTCCCAATTCCGATGCATGCAGATTAACTATCTGTATTAATACACCAAATTCCTCTCTGTCATTTGGGTGAAACTTTTTAGGACTATTTCGGTGTTTATAGCAATTCCGCGTCCTTTTTACTTGTGGGTATGTAAAATAATCTAATGTTGTAAAATATTATTTTAGAGGCTCAGTTTGGAAGGAGTATAAATGCAAAATCTTATATTTGGTATTATTTGTATGAATTTATATTGTATATATTTACATTTGTAATCTTTTTAAACTGAGCGAGGAAAAAAAATCTTAAACTTAGGCTCTGTTTAAATATATATAAAATACAAGGTTTTGCACTCAATATATATTTATACTCCTTCTAAATGAAGCCTTATTTATAAAAGATTACTAATACAAATATATAGAATGCAAAACCTTGTATTTTATATTATATTATATTTTTATATATATTTATACTATATATATTTGTATTTATAATCTTTTTAAATTCAGCTTTAAGTTTCACTTGTTTGCACTAATACAAACCCATGAGATGGGAGTATAAAAGACGATCGAGTGCGAGTTCTAGTACACTTTTGTTTCTGGATTTACTTTTGCCTTGTGCTTTATTTTACCTCCTGCATTATAAATAAACAAAACAAAAGTAAAGTCTAAAATAAACATAAATCCAAATTTATACTCTTGACTCATTGCACTCTCATATTAGACAGCTTAGTTTAATATTGGATTTGGGCATACCAATGGACAGCAATATAAGCTTCATTCCATTCTGTATAGTATATGAGTACGATTTGAATAAACAAAAACCATATCAAAACAATTTTTAGGGCAGAGACAGGGAGAAAAGAGAGATGGCAATATCATATGTTAAGGGTACTTTTGTCACATTGAAAATAGACGAGAAGGCATCAAATGGGGTAGACTCATTTTGCCATTTGAAATTCACTTTCTCTAAGACCATAATAAATGTAACATAAGGAAAATATATAATTCACAAAACCTTTTTACAAGGGATGAGGATTCCATTGAAATATTAAGGCCCTGTTAGTTTTTCGGTAAGTTATTTAACTGGGTAAATGCATTTATCCAAGTGTTTTCTAGGAACGAGTTACCCAAGTAAGTGTATTTATCTATGTTTTTTTGTTTTCCATGTAAATAAGGCAATGGCCATTTTAGCCATAAAAATCTATTATTATAAGGGCATTTTTGTCCCATTCAAGTGTTGGCAACTTTCCCCTAAGGTGAGAAAGTTATTTACCCACATAGGAGAAAATAAACTTTCCCTGGTCCCCACATAAATCTAAAAAAAGAACATAGGATTCTTGGTCAATGGAAAATAAAATCCTATTGACCAACTTTCCCCCCTCTCAAAATCCAGAAAAATAACGCCCTCTTCACAACTATATCTTCCCATGAATAAAAAACATATACGGAGATGTTCTCAATAGGACTGCAAAGATGGTTCATAAAATCTGAATTCCTCCATATGTAATAATTATAAATATTAATAAGGGTAATTTGTAAAATAATTCAATATTATATAATTTTCAGGTTAGGCGACATGGGTCCGGGTTGTGCCTTTAGCATCTCTATCTCAAAACTACTAAGGATCTGTTTGGTTTATAGTCGGAATTGGAATCAAAATCCTTCGGAATCAGAATTAGAATGGCCTATTCCCATGATCTGTTAACTGTTTGATTCAGATAAGAATGGAAATGAGAATTGAAATCAGTAAGAATGAGATTTCAATCCCAAAAAAAAGTACAGAAAATGAGAATGAGATTCCAATTCCGTCCAACCAAACAATTAGAATCAGAATAACCCATTCCGATTCCAGACCCCTATTCTTGCGAACCAAATGGGGGCTTAATATTATTATAGTAGGTTGTAGCCTTATCCTCTTACAGGTGTCAACTTTTGTTATCATGCAAAATTATTCATGGTTCATACTTCATACCAATTCTTTGGACAGAAAAAATCGATAAAGGCATGTCACATGTACGATGTGTCCAAAATATCATATCAACATGCAAATTTATTTTAGACCATCTGATGTATAGTTTATTTTCCCCCTTTGTTTCTTTCTTGTTTTTTTTGGTTCTAACACTATTTGTTGAATATTGACTCTTCTTTTTCCCTTCACCTCAAATACATCCAACCTAAACCTAATCCAGTACTGTATATTTAGCACGGACATGCTACAGCTACTCTATTTGTCAATATATATGTCTGAATATCTGGTGGGTCCTTTGGGGCCTCTGTTGTCAACGCAAAACGCCAATGGATGGGCCCATGGGCTAAAGTATTTTAACTTTTCACGCAAGGACAGGAACTGGACCTACGTCCATGCTTACATCTGCCTTGTCTATATATCCTTACTATCTTGTCAGTTTCAAACTGTCCAACTTGTCCTAACTACGGAGATGAGTTTGGGCCAGACGTCGAAATGCGGTGCCAATAGAAAAAATAAAATTACTATTTTATAATGTGATCCGGATTCAAATGTTTGAAGTGTGATAAGATTTTGCCAAGTAACTATTTCTGACGGAGCGGTGCAATTCAGGAAAAGGGGTTAACCCAAGCCCAACCCTAAGGCCTGGACCTTAGGCGTAGGCCCATCCAGCATTTGTCACATTTTAAGGTCTTTTTATTTGATCTTTACTTCGGAATAGAATAAAAAAAAATTGCATACAAAAATATCATTATAAAGTTCTTAAGCCTTATTTGGGAGTGCTTATCGAGTAAAAATGTGCTTATTTTAAGTACTTGTCCTAATAGGTGCTTAGGAGTAGTGAAGAAGTGCTTTTGAAAAAAAAAAAGCAAAGTTTTGAACTTATACAAAATAGGCTTATTTCCTGAAGAAGTGTTAATTTGGACTTTTTTCTCAAACACATAAGTATAAATATAAGTGTATTTGGTGTAATTCCGGCTTAAAATAAGCGCTTTTCCAATAAGGTCCAATTCAAAATAGGAGATGAGCATACCTAAAAAATAAAATTTTCCTAATCTTTATATAAATTTGCAAAAAAAAATATAAATTTCTTATCCAATAAAAATCAAAATTCCATTAACCAATTTTCCCTCGTCTTAAAATCTAAAAAAAATGCTCCCCACGGAGGCTGACGGGCTTGCGTTATCGTAAACAGCGAGCCAAGCCCATCTCAATTTGAAATGGTGTCCAAATACTTTTGCTCAATCCATCCCACCCACCCAGCCTAGAGCCTAAAAGTTCATGTCCGACCCATGCAAAACTATTCCGAGTTGGGTATGTATGTGTGTTGTATTCAGTCAATGCGGCTGTGTGCCCGCTCAAATCGCATCCCTACGTTGTAACTGGTACGTGCTCGGGCCTAGGGATCAACCAAAAAGTTAATTTTCTGCCGCGATTTGTCAATACCATGACTCGGACAGTTGAGGACAGTCTGACCTTTTATACAATAAATATAAAGGTGACAATACAAATTAACGGTGGTTTTCTGTTTTTTCAGGCAAAAGAAGGCCGATCGGAGGAACACCGAAAAGGAAATCAAATATCAGCAACTTCTACATGCAATTCCCTTTTACAGGAAGTCGACGGACAATCCACCCAGATTCTCGTTACGATCTGAGCACAAGCTAAGGTCAGTTAATCATTCTACAAATTTCTTAAGTTACAGAATTGTATATACTATCGGCTCTTACTGTTTTTAACTGAAAATGAATAAAATTATTTTTGTATTTTATGCGTCTTCTTTTCGTTTAATTTTCTTTTCACAGAAACGAAGAGATCAAAGTCAAAAAGAAACTCGAAATGGCAACTAGGGTCTCCAATTTCTCCGATTTGATTCAACGAGTAACGGCTTCTTGCTTGTTGTATCCACTCTCACGAGGGCGTGATGCGAGAGAAGACTTAGAAGATCGAACCGAGTATGAAGATGCCGAGGTTCAACAGTTCGGCGAAGAATACGGGGATGAAGAAGAGGAATACAAGGTTTGGGAAGAGAAGAAAAAGCTGGTGAGCGTGGAGAAGGTGAGGGAAATGGAGGTGTTAATGGGGGAGGTATTCGAAGTGGTGTCGGCGGTGAAAAGGGCATATGTTGGCTTGCAGGAGGCGCATTGTCCTTGGGATTCGGAGAAGATGAGTGCTGCCGACATTGCGGTGGTGACGGAGTTGAGGCGACTGGTCTCTCTGAAAGACAAGTTCCGGAGGAGGTTTATAGGAGCCGGAAAAGGAGAATCACTGGGGCTGGTCTCGCTGAGGGACGCGGTGGCGCCGTACGAAGCGGCGATAGATGAGCTTAAGAAAGAGGTGAAAGCGAAAGAGGTGGAGGTAGAGAACTTGAAGGAGAAGCTGCACAACGTCACTACTACTTCTACTTATAGTGGTAAAAAAGGGAGGTTTCACTCGTTCCACTCCAAGAGGAAAGTCAGTTGCTGCCAAGGTCAAGGTACACTCTTCCCTCATTTTATTCTTAAAATTACGCAAATATCATTCCTTAAGAGAAAAGAACCCCTTTTCTGGTCGTTTCTTTTAAGTTGCCCTCGAGGGCAACATGGTCATTCTGAAAATTGAGTCTCGACTCTCGACGACTGACACACATCTGCCGGTAACCCATTATCCAGTGGCGGAAACGCCTGCACCGGAACTGTTCGAAGAAACGATGAACCAGGTCAAAGAAACCTGCAAGTCTTTCACAGCTCTGCTTCTCTCGTTCATGCGATCTGCTCACTGGGACATCGCCGCTGCCGTGCGATCCATTGAAGCCGCCACCAACCCCAACGCCATCGAAGACCGTACAAGCGCTATTGTTGGAGCTCATCACGCTAAGTACGTACTGGAGTCTTATGTGTGCAGGAAAATCTTCCATGGATTCGACAACGAGACATTCTACATGGATGGCAGCCTCTCCTCGCTTCTCAACCCCGAGCAATTCCGACGAGACTGCTTCTCCCAGTTTCGAGATATGAAAGCCATGGACCCGGCCGAGCTCCTAGGGATCTTGCCTACTTGCCAGTTCGGCAAGTTCTGCTCTAAGAAGTACCTCTCTATTGTTCACTCCAAGATGGAGGAATCTCTCTTCGGAGACTTGGAGCAAAGACGCCTAATTATGGCGGGAAACCACCCGAGGACCGAGTTCTATGGAGAGTTTTTGAGCCTGGCGAAGGCGGTTTGGCTGCTGCACTTGCTGGCTTTCGCACTCAAGCCGGCGCCGTGTCATTTTCAGGCAACCGGAGGAACAGAGTTTCACCCTCAGTACATGGAGAGTGTCATCAAATTTTCTGGCGGTGTGCCAGTGGGTTCAGTAGTGGGATTTCCGGTTAGTCCTGGGTTCGAGCTTGGCAATGGTTCGGTTATCAAGGCCAGGGTTTACCTCGTCCAGAGGGCTTAGGGAATTGGGACTTACGGAGTTCGGACCTTGGGGCTTGGGGTGATGGAGTTGCAGTGTGTAATAGCAACGGGACACGTGTTGATTAATATAAATGAACCAAGTTATCAACCCTCTACCCGATTCAATATCATTTATCCGATTAAAATTCGATTTCAATAAAAAATATTGTTTTATGTATATATTTAATATACTTAATTATATATACATAAAAATCATATATAATTATATAAAATTTTTAATATTTTATATTTATATATTGTATACATAATTACAAAAAAAGTAAACAAATAACCAAAATTTGGTGTGAGTTGACGTTGAGAGACTCTACGAGAGAGATGTGATTCCATCCATTGATCTGCAGCTGCAGCCATGGGCATATATTTTAGTCCGGATGAAGTAAGCATCCAAATTCCAACCTACTAGTTTTTATACACAATCGTTTTTGGTACCATATAATGGAGCATATTGTTTTATTTTTCCCGCTTCAGTAATGGAGCATATTGTTATCGATGGTCATGCTTTTTTTTTTTTTTTTGGTAAAAGCGAGCAAGATTATATTCAAAAGAAAGCAAATAACAGAGTACAAAAACATTATCCAATTAAGTTCTATTTAAGTCTGCTTTGGCCATATCTAGGACTCATTCAGGGGGGTCCTGCACAAAAACCGCAGACTCCTGTAGATCCTTTTTAGCTAGCATATGAGCGACAGAATTACAACTTCTATTAACATGATTAAAGGATATAGAAAAGCCCTCAGTCAATAAGTTAATGTTTATGCATAGAAAGTTTGCATCCATAGCCATTTCAAAACCTGCACCAGAATTTGGCAGTCAGATTCCACTGATATTTCCTCTTTTTTATACATACTCAAAATTTCAAGGCTGTTAAGGATCGCCATTGCTTCCGCTTGAATGGGAGATGAGGCCGTTGACCTTTCAAAAATAACAGTAATAACCTTTCCTTCATCATTTCTAAGCACTGTACCAACCAGAATTTCCTCGACACAAAAAGCTCCCATCCACGTTCAATTTCAACAGCCCTGCAATTGACGCTTTCCAAAAAGAGTTATCTTGATCACTATCAATGGTTATGTTCACTCTTTCGTTTTGATAAGATTATATTAGATTGGGTAAATTTCTTAAATTATCCTTATAGTTTAGTTAATTGACTAAATATACCTTTATTATTTGATTATTGTCTAACATTACTCCTACTACTACAATTAAATACTAATCAAAGGGTTAAACCCTTTTATTAAATCCAAACAGTTCTCTCATTCTCTCTTCACTGTTGCCACCGTTGCGTCCCTTCTTCTCCTCCGGAGAAGCTATCTCTTTTGGGGCTAAAACTAAATTGTTTGATTCTGCGCTATGATGTCATGCTCCAAATGATCAAGGTATTCCCACTCCCATTCACCTTACAGCAGGGGCAACTAGTCTCCCTCGAAGTATCTGTTCAAGGGCAAGGTCAAGGAGTCGTTCTAGGAGTCATATGATTCAAGGAGAACTGCTTGATAGGAATCAACTTGCATTATGGTGCGATGGATCAAAGCATCACTGTTACCAATCTTATCCAATGAAACAAGTTTGTTCGACCGTCTTCCTTGTGCAATGCTGATTATACCGGAATAGGGAGTGAGTACAGCTGGAGGATTCTAGTTGTACAAGTTTGTCTGAACTCATTTCCTCTCTCTCTCCCTCTCTCTGATTAGAACTCTGATTCTCTTGCTACCGATACCAACCTCTCTCTCTCCAATCCGATTGGCTTCTTCTTGTGTGTTGAATTCTTCATTTAAATTTCTCTTGAACTTGAAAGGGTTTACATTTGTTGTCCAACGAAATTAGGTCAAAAAGGTTCTTTTATTCCTTTTTATTTGAAATCTTTAAATCTTTGTCTGAATTTCCAGATTTGATAAGGTTTTTCCCTTTTTGTCTCAAGCGGCTGCAAAATTGGTTAGTTCATCTTCTATTCAACTAATGCTCCTGATTTTTTTTTTTTGTTTGGTTTGAATCTCATGATTTTTGCTTAAAAGAGTTCTATGTCAATTCTCTCTTTCTATTTTATAACATTCGATTTAGATCCCGAGCTTCAACCTCGTTGTTGAAAACTGAGAGATTCATAAAATCCAAGTTTTGTTCTCTTTTGGTGGGGGAGTTTTGAGGAATGCCTGGGAAAAAAATGGAGACGAAGGAGACATCTGGCGTCTCAGAGACTTCTGCTTGTACTACTAGAATTATCACAGGTCACCGCTGGTTGGGTCCCGATCATTTCAAGTCACTGTTGGTTTAATAGTGACAGAGACCGGAAGAGAGAGCTTGTAGCGGCGGTTGAAGAAATTGCCACTTGCCTTCTCCTCCACTGCACAAGCCACCTACCTTGAGGAGAAAAATGAACCAATCTTAGATCTGGGTTCAGATCAGAAACAATACAAGGAGGTGACCTACAGGTTGAAGAAATCGCGGGCAGTAGCAACGACGATCACCGTTATCTCTTTGAATTCATTTTCAGTTTGCCCTCTCTAAATCTCATAGCCGATGAAAGGGGACTATTCATCCTCCCTTTCCTCTCTATGTGAACGATCTCCACATTTCAGATTTTGGTTCAGATCTGAATGGACGACCTCCATTCTTCTGCCAGCGGGCTTCAGCGGTTGGATTTTGAGCGAAATATTGAGATTGGCGTGAACGCAAGTCAAATCCCGTTCGGCATGAACTCCGCTTCCGTTGATCTCTCCGGTGGCGCTGCTTACGCATCAATGGCTTCCATTGTTGGATCGAAGAGAGCTTGGAGTCAGGCCATGATTTGCAAGGTTCGAAACTGATGTCAATCTAGTATTGATGGAGATGATAGAGGGAAGACAAAGAGAGGTGGGAGGAGGAAGGGGATGAGGGTAACATTGGATTTTAAAAAATTTTAAACGGTCACGTGTGTTCGGGTTTTGGTGAAATATTAACATACGCTAACGATAAAGGTAGAGTTAGACAATTGTTAAAAACAGTAAGGATACACTTAGTTAATTAACAAAACCATACGGATAGTTTAAAAAATTTACCCTATTAGATTTTAGCGGGACCCTGCGATGCATGAACCTTGTCAAAAAATTTTTGAAGTAAATGAAACCATATGAAATTTGGGCATATCACATCTTTAGTTCATTGATATACTTTATTTAAATAATTTGATAATTTTAATGATTTTAAATGCAAAATGGATGGTGTGGTAGGTCTCTTATCAACTTTAAATAAAAAATAAGTTGTAATGAGAGCAATCAATTTCATTAGATTCACCTAAATAACCAAAATTATGAAAATTGATTACCTAAATCTCTAAAACAAATAAAATTACAATAGTTAAATTACGAAAAAGTACCAACATTCCCAAATTTTATTTACCACAAATTAAAAATTTTAAGAAAATTAATATACAAAATTACCAAAATTAATCAATTAATACTTAATAAACCTACAAAAATTATTCATTCATAAATTAGAAAAAGCTAATTGTTATTTTACCAAAACAACCAAAATTAATTTAGTGAAATATATTGTTTGGAATATACCAAACTTAAACAAATACAAAACTAATTTACCTAAATTACCAACATTGATTTCCCAAATAACCAAAATTACAATAATTAAATTCCTATAAATCACCAACATTACCAAAATTTACTTACCAAAAAATAAAATTTTTAGGAAAATGAATATACAAAATTACCAATTTTAATATATCAGAATGAATAATAAATTTATTTTTTGACATAACAAAAGTAATCACCAAAGTTACCAAATTTAAAGTACAAAAACTACCAAAATTACTTCACTTTCATAAATTAATAATTACAAAATTACCAAAATTAATAAGTTAATAATATCCCAAAATCCTCAAAATTGTTCATTCATAAATTAGAAAATAAAATCTAGTTAATTTACCAAAATAAATAAAAATTAATTTAGTTAAATGGTTTTTTGGGGAATATATCAAAATTTAACAAAACTTACAAAATCAAGTTATCAAATTAAATCAACCAAAATTAATTTATCAAAATCCATTATGAAATTTACCAAAAATAATTTACATAAAGTAATTACCTCTAAATGAATTTAACAAAGTTGATAAATTATTAAAAGTTTTGCTTGGTAATTACGAAAATTTATTAGTAATTTTTGGTAAATTATTAATTTACCAAAATTAAGAAAAATGAATTTACTGAAATTAATTTTCGGTAATTTATCGAATTATTGCATGCATGATCAGTCTCAATGAGCCGTGTACATGATTATTTTTTAAAACCACTCTATTTAATTATTCATTGATATGTGTTTTTATAGGCACAATTATCAAACAATATTTTTAAAAATTCTACACATGGCTACTCTCATACGAGTCAGGTCAAACCTTCTATTTTCTCAAAGAATTATTTTTTAGTTTCTAGTCATGAGTGTAATAACGTAATTTTATTTGACAGGGATTAGCAGGGATTGTAGAATATCCACAAGTAACGACCTCTAGCAATTTGGAAGTTGGAAATGACGATCCAAAGGTTTGTTTTCATAAGTTGATTGATAAAAGTTTTTTTTTTTTTTATAAGTTGATTTTATTAACTTTTGGCTTTCAGGTTGAGTTTCTCTTGGGGATTACACACAGTGCGGAAACTAGCAATGCGGACCCACCAAAGAAGTCAAACACATAAACAATGATTCACATTAAAGTATTTTCTTTTTACAATGCATTATAGCATTTATTTTGGTTTTAATCGGTAGAATCTAAGAAAAAATGGTAAAACTGTATTTTTTTATTCAGTTTGCAAGAGTATTTGTCTTGTTAGCAACAAGTTTGATTACCAATTTCAAATTTTCTTTTCTTTTTCTTTTGTTTTACCAGTGCTATTGTTTTTTGAAGGCTAACATGGTTGACTAGCATATAACTTAATCTACTTGAGTGAACTGTTATATGATTCATGATGACCCAGTTTATCATCCATTAAATGATCGTTACAAAGCAATGTTTTTTCAATGCACAGTTTAAGAGCATTGGATGTTTTAACAATGGTTTTCAAAATCGGACCGGAAAACTGGGAACCAATCATCTAATTGGTTTCGTTTTTCTCCAAAACGGTTGATTTTGGTCATTAAACTGCTGAATCGGCTGATTAACCGTTCAAACTGTTCAAACCGTTTGAATGGTTTTGACCATTTTTCAAATTTTTTATTTTTTTATTTTTTTGTCAAAACGGGCCAATTGATCAGGTCGAATGGTCGGACCGTTCGAATTGGTAATCGGACCCCTGACCGGTTTGATCACTAGTTCGATTTTAAAAACCATGGTTTTAACAGTGATAGAGAGACATGCATGGAACAAACAAAGATTTCTTTGACAATTAAGAGCATGGATGCTTTGCAACATAGTTACTATTGACCAAGGTTTTTGAACCGTTGTTGACTCCGATGGTCGGACCGTTCAGCTCGGGAACCGTCCAAGCAATCGGTTCTGCTTTACCTCAAACCTAGTTTTTTGTCAAAACCGTAGAAAAAGTCAATAACCCATTGACCCAAGTGATTGAACCGTCGACCCTTTCAATGCTTTTTGATCGTTTTTTTATTTTTTATTTTGTTTGTCAAATGGACCATTCGTTTGAGTTAGACTGTCGAATTATCGACCTATAAACTAATGCCCAGAAAAGTTCCATTTTCGGGTCGTTTTTTAAAACGTTGCTATTGATAAATCTCTAAACATGTCCCATCAAATGGTTAAGAATATGGACAAAATTTTCTCTAAACTGTTTATCACAGTAACAGAGATTTAGTGCAGTTACCTATAGAAGTGGTTCGGTGGGGTTGAAGCAGAGATGTATACGAAATGAGATGTCATAATTTTAGTGGGAAGTTACCTGTGATTCGTCACTGTGTACTATTCAAACAAGACTCCTGCAGATTTCTTGTTAATGCTGCCCAAAATTCACTCTTTACGGTTTCTTAGCAAATCTCTTCTCTCAATGCCGCCCAAAGAAGAAACACTTCTCACTTTACTAAAAATTGGTTGTTAATAGCGTGTGGATTTGAAAAGGCTGAAGTTTCCTTTTTTCGTTTAGCCTCTTTCCTGGTTCGACTAGGCAGTCAATTTTTCTATTTTATCTCCACCCTTTTTTTTTATTTTTAACATATCAAAAAAAGGAAATTGAAGACTAACACCCCTAACCTTGCCGTTAGAACACATTTGCACATGTGAATTGAGAATGCATGTGGAGTAGGACTTGGCTGAATCTCATTGAAAATGTACCACGTCCCACACCATACCAAGTGCAGAAAATCCGGGTTCTAGACCAAATAGAACCCAACTTTTAATCAGGGTAATTTTGATCTTTTTAGATTTTATGATTTAAACAATTTAAAATAATATGGGCATTTCAGTAAGTTTACAATAATCTATAATGTAAGTTAACGGAAGTGGACGTAAGTATTTATTTCTGAAAGTTCAGGGTACTTAAGTGTTGCATTAAAAAATTCATAATACTCAAGTATTATGATCCAAAATACATGGTATCTGTAATTTATTTATATTATCTTGTTTATATATATATATATAACAAATCAGATATCATTCTAGACATAATATGCCCTACTCTCAAATGCGAAAGAGAGTAGAGGATTAGGGAGGATTTTACATTTTTATATGAGAAGAAGATGTTGATTACGAGAATCTTTTAAGAGGGCATGAGTTAGGACTTAGGAGGTTTGGGGAGGGTAGAGGGGTCTAGAATTTACAAAATCCGCCAACACAATTTACCTCTTTCAAAGCTTAGTTGACGCGTGGCAGATTGGTTGTTAGCGCGTTTGTCCATCTCGTCCCAGTCCTCATCCGGTCATCCCTTATTATTAAATTAAGGGTTAAGTAGACCCTTCAGTTGTCACCCTCGCGTGCTGGAAACACAAGGGTAGTTTTGACTTTTGAAATAAAAAACCCTGGACCCAACGGCAATACACATAATATAATTCCTAATGGATGGAGGTCAATTATGTAAATCAGTTGTAAATTATAGGGCGTGTAGTTTTATAAAAACTTAAGTTTTAGTGAATATGTAAAAATATAAGGATATAAGTAAACGAGAAGAATAGAAACAATTCGAAAATGAGCAAAGGAGAAAAGGGAAGTAACAAACTGCCATCGCTGGATAAACGTCATAGAGGAATAAAAGACGAGTGCGGACTGCAGCAGATCCTACCGGTCCTTTTCTCCTCCTCTTCGTCTCCTCCCCGCAAAGAAATCCCAGCCCGACAGATAGTGTGGTGAGATAATTAAGAGACATTTCTAGGGTTTTCGCTTTCTAGGGTTTTCGATTTTTTTTTTTTCCTCAGAGTGTGAGACAGGGAGAGATGGAAGGTCCGAGCAATGGTGGAATGTTGTACCACGAGGTGCAAGAATCGAAGCTCTGTGCAGTGCATTGCGTGAATACGGTGTTACAGGGACCATTCTTCTCCGAGTTCGATCTGGCCGCTCTTGCCTCCGATCTTGATCGCAAGGAGCGCCAGATGATGCTTGAAGGTGGTGCCGTTTCTGACGATTTTCTCCGCTTCGATTCTGAGGAGTCGCATAATGTCTCCATGGATGGTGATTTCAGCATCCAGGTTAGGTTATTATAACCAAAATGTTCCTTTCTTGTTATTTTCAATATCTTAAACGTAGATTTTTTTATCGTTTTTCTGTTCTTTTTTGGCTTCAGTTCTTGTTCACGAATTCCTCTATCAGATTGTTTTTGCTTCGTAACCAATTTGGGGCTTGAAACTTTTGTTCTCCCTCCAAATTCTCCAAACTTTGGATTTTAATCGGTTTCAGAATGGGGAAGAATCTGTTAGAAAAATAAAGTGTAGACAAAATGCAAACCAGTTGATTGCTTTGGTTTCGGCAGATTATGGAAATATAAAATGAACAAAATTGATATTTATATGGAAGAAGCTTCTGACACTAGTTTCGGATATGGAGTGGCGGGTGGTAAGACATGCTTTTCTTCCAAAAACGTGGAAGGGGAAGCACTTTTTTTTCTTTCCATTTTCGAAGTCAAGGCATGCCCTTCAGTTGTTGAGACTCAAAACACATCCATCATCACATAAACTCTACAGAAAAAAAAAAAACGTTCTTCTAGTTTCTAGTTACAGGTATTTAATTTCAGTCCCATGCTAGTGAAAAGTTAAGGTCGATAATTGATTAGTCACCTATCCATAAAAAAAAGGGATTTTTGGACTGCAATCCCCCTCAGAAATCTGAATTGCATTTTCAGAGCGAGTTCAACAGTTGATTGGTAGCATTTATTTATTCAAAGATGAGTGTTGTGTTTTATCCCAAAATTTATTTTCTATTGATACTGAGTTAAAGATTGAGATGGCCCAACAACCAATAATAGGTTTTGCGGAGAATAAAATTTATTCAACCTTGGCTGATAAAATAGGCAACTTCTTGGTTGTTAAACGTATAACTTAAGTTGAAATAGGAGAAAGATAATATTAAAATGTTATCAAGCGACCATTTCCTATCAAAAAAGAAAAAGAAAATGTTACCAAGTGCACCGATAAAAAAGCATTACAAGAGTATCAATATTTATTTATTTGGTCGAGTCTTTGTATTGAGGTGTGTTGATGAAGCTTAGCTCTGATTGCAACACTTATTTTGGACATGGGGCATGGGGTATATTTCTTCTGGATCTATGATTTGAGACATGGTTCTAGGGATGATCAGAAATTTAGGCATGGAGCTCAAAAGCTTGTAATTAAAATACCCCACGCGTTTAGTAAGGAAAATAGGGGTATTAAGTACGTTTTTAGTTCTGCTCCTTCTAAATAATAGGTTTCATGCGTGACCATATGACACCTCCATCCAGTCAAATGTCATATGGTCTTTTGAGGATTTTCACTATACATTTGTTTGTTTTCTTACTTATTCTTGTTTATCTCCTGGACAGTGCTTGGTTTTGTGCTCTGCAGAAGCTAAAGCCTGAAACTCTAAACCCAATGTATATGCCTTATGACATTACATGTGGGTCTTGTACCATAATACTGTGGAGCCCAAGCCTGACCTGGAAGTAGAGTAAAATGCTAACTCGGGCCTGCCTGAGTTGCACCCTGAACTCCTGCTGCTCGTCCTCGTTTTTCCTCATTTTCTGGTTAATTGGCTCCTTTATTGAGCTTCATTTGCATGTTTAAGAACTATTTTCAGCTTGAACCTCCTTTCAAACAAAACCTTCAATAGGATTGTTACTTGTATCCTTTTAATTGCTAACGTCGTAAACTCAGGAAGCTTGTTTTTTTGTTACATTTGGTGATTTAAATGCTTTTGGTAGAATGTGCATGCTATACAATACTCACATTTCATACCCTCTTGTAACTTTTTGTTGAGGATGTTTTGCCATCTTTATAGTAATACAAAATATTTTTACCAGTTATAAAAAAGGTACTTTTATTGGGTGGAGGGAGGATTAGGTTACATCAAACATGTACTCTTGCATCCTGAGATTCCATATGACCAAAAAAGTGATGCTTTGAAGCTTGAATCTATTATGGGGAGGTGATAGATGTTTGTGCGTTATAAAAAAGTGATGTTTTGAAGTTTGAATCTATTAGGGGGGGGGGGGGGGTGATAGATGTTTTTGCGCTATAATTCTTTGACTGGAATAGGTGTGATGGTTATTCAAATTATACAATGTGTGAAGAATTGAGAGGAGACTGAACTTGGAGTTCCTTTTAGTATGTATACAGTTTGTCATGCCTTCAACTACAGAGATGTGATGGGGATTTAGCCCATAAATGTCATGTTCTTAATGATATTTTTGACACAGAGTAACTGTTGCTTCCGGAAACAAATAGAGACACCAGGAATATAAAAAATACAAAATATCTAAAATGAGGAACTTAAAATATCTATAGCAACTGTTTTAAAAGAGTATTTGAATATTGCTTCTTTCTCTTGATGTCCACCCTTGGTTGCCTAATATCACCAAATGCCAAGGACTTTGTGAAGCATACTATGTTCTTGGGCAGGCAGCAAGCTAATACTCATGGATTATAGTACAGAAAGCAATAGGATTCCCAATTAAATTTGAGAATACTGTTTGCATAACTTTTCCCTTCTTTATCTTCTCCCTTTATTGATGATAATTGCACATTGTTACCTTCAAACTTCATGCTTAGCTTGGAAAAATGGTGTTATTTGCTTGCAGGTTCTACAGAAGGCTTTGGAGGTCTGGGATCTGCAAGTAATCCCCCTTGACTGCCCAGTTGCAGAGCCTGCTCAAGTTGACCCTGAGCTGGAGAATGCATTTATCTGTCACTTGCAGGATCATTGGTTTTGCATCAGGAAAGTAGATGGAGAATGGTATAACTTTGACAGTCTCTATGCAGCTCCTGAACACCTCTCCAAGTTCTATCTTTCAGCCTACCTTGATTCTTTGAAGGGCTTTGGCTGGAGCATTTTCCTGGTGAGGGGAAACTTCCCAAAGGAGTTCCCTATCTCATCATCAGAAGCTTCTAATGGTTTTGGACAATGGCTCTCACCTGAAGATGCTCAAAGGATAACAAGATCTTGCAACATGGCTCATTCTGCTCCTAACAGAACTAACATGTCCCAACCAAGCTCTGACCCTTCTCTGACATTCAGGGAAGATGAGGGACTTTCTGACATGGAAGATGAAGATTTGAAGGCTGCTATTGCTGCCAGCTTGCTGGATTCTATTCCAGCTAGTGCTGAAAGCAACACTCCTAAAGACAAGGATCAATAAAGCCGTTGAATACATGCAGAAGAAACAATTGCATCTGAGACTCCATTCCCCAACAGCACAGAAACTTGTCTGTTTTCAACTGAAAAAAAAAATGTTTATTTGGATGGAGAGTATAATCCAAATCTTACCACTGTGCAGCATGCGTTTATCTTGTATTCGTTAATGTTCAAAGTTACAAAGGCTTCTGTAATAAAAATGTTCTAAAGGTCGTCATAACAGTTGTTATATAACATTTGGGAGTTGTGAATTGTTGGAGATCCAACTAGGTGTGATGATCTGGAGTTATGGACTTTGTTTTAGCCTCTTAAAAAAGAGTGGGAGGAAGGAGAGAAAGTTAGGTCAGGTTTAGGACCAATCTTAAGCATGAACCTGAGGTTCAAAGTATGGAGACTCTTGATGTGAAAAAATTGTGTAAATTACTAAATTGTGTATCGAAAGCTCTTTTTTTAATCATCAGTGTAAGGGGACGGGCTGTGCATGCGTTCTAAGAAAATGTCTAACTAGATACAGCCACCACAGGAGAGAGATGGAGCTCGATTCTCTGCAGTATGTCATGTGCTCAGCAGCTGAGGAATGAGTTGAACACCTGTTTAACCGTTGGAAGGTGTCAAGCTTACTACAGGTGAAGTTTATGGGCATTTTCAGTTTTTTACACAGTTGAAATCCGAGAGGCGTCATTAAGAGAGGAAGTAATCAGGGTGCATTGGAACATCTCCCGTGAATAATAATAAATAAATACGGGAGATGTTCCTTTTTTTCTTCATGAGAATATGGAGCTATGATGACCGAGTGGCCACTTCATTTGATTTTCCCTTTTTATCTTCACAAATTTTCCTTCACGTGTCACTTCCTATGTTTATGTTTTTAAGATATGTATTCATTATTTCTCTGTTTTCCAATTGTTCCTTCCTATGTAATCTACTTCATTATTTTATTTGTTTTCCAATTGTACGTTTCAACCAGATGTTTTCTTCTCTAATATTATGATTATTTTTTTTCCAAGCTATGTGTTTGGTATTTAGTTTCTTTCGTACCTTTGTATGCAATGTTTTCCCCTCTAGTGTGTCTGCCTTCTCAAAATTCTTTCATATGTTTCTGTTGCTTTTTTTTTTCCCGCTTTGCTTTTCAAATCTGAATTGCACACTCAATTTTCATGAGATCCAAGATATTGTAGCATCTTTCATGGGACAACCTTGCTGAAATGGTAAACATTCAAATTTAATTTAACTCCTACAATTTGTGTCCATTAAAGAAGTGTGTGGGTTTTATTTAACTCCTGCAATTTCCTAAGCTCCAATGTTTATCATTTAATTTAACTACTGAAATGATAAACATTCAAATAAAATTGTGATCAATTAATTATTGATTATTGTGTGGGTTTTATTTAAAAAATCAATGTTTTTATTTTGACGTAAACAATTTATTTTTGGTTTAATAACACAGTTTATTTTTTCTTTGACAATTTATTTATTTTTCATGACTTCAGCCACATAAATGTAGTACACTTATCTCAATGACCCCTAATGCCATATAGTTCTAATAATTAATAATAATTATAGACAAAGCAGACAAGAAGGTGTATTTGTCGCTAAGGAATGTTTGTCAAGATTTTATCCAGTCCATTACCTAGAATAACTGATCATGGGGGCAATCCAACTTGATATCTGTCGTCCCACAGTCCCACTGTTCTACTTGATGTATTTCAAAAGATATTGTTGTCACTTTAACTGTTACTTAATATATTTTGAAAGGTATTACTAAAAGATATTGAGGTTCAAGTGTTCAACCCTTAAATAAGCTCTGGCAGCTTTACTGTCATACGTTGATGTCAACTTACAACTTAAGCTTACGTATGTCTAAAGCAATCTTCACCTTTTTTTTTTTTGAATTATTTGTTGTGCCTTTGGGTTTGTACATTAATCTGTTTATGCTTCTCTTCTCTCGATCTTTATCTTGGTTTTGCAGAACAAATGGAGGATACCGATAGTGAACTTGTCTTCCTGATATCTTTTAAACAAGTTCTAAACGACCTTTCTGATTACCTTAAACTACCTCGGCCACATTTGAAAGTAGAGAGGGCTCCTTATGGATGCATTGGGCACATGGTTTTCAAAACCGGATAGAACTGGAAAATTGGGAATTGATCATTTGACTGGTTTTATTTTTCTCTAAAATCGTTGATTTTGATCAGCAAACTGTTGAATCGGCTGATTAATCGTTCGAACGGTTTTAACCATTTTTTTAATTTTTATTTTTTTGTTAAAACGGGCTGGCCATTCAGATCTAACAATCGGACCGTTCGAACCGTAACCGGACCCCTGACCGTCCGGTTCAGTTTTAATCTTTGTTAAAGATGGTGGTGAATGGGTATTCAATTCTCTGGGTATCAATATCAGACAAAGAAAGTTGCAGAAGAATATGCGTGTAAGACAGCTATAAACAAGTTAAAAGAAATATATGCAATTAAAATTGAGGATATTAACTATGTAGATTATAAATATTATGCTGGCAACAAGGCTTCCCCGTCTATGGCGCAAAGTTCAGTCTGGGCTAAAATTTTGATGTTTCTTCTTAATGTTTTGTTTTGGGTGTTCCACTTGCACATATGGCTCCTTTAAATGTGTCATTGATGATTTCCAAAACTATCATGTATTTAGCTACTCATATGAAGTTATGATAGAAAGTTTCCAGTTTGCTATATTCTGCGGAATTTCCAAAGTTATATTTAACTTTGAAGGTGGTTGTGCTACTTTGCCATATTCTATACTCTTTTCTCAATTGCAAAAATATCCTGAATCATTATTCGGAGTTCTCAGTAATTTTCTCTTCAAGATCGACAAACAAGGCGGCTCATGCCTTGACTCGTTTTGGTTTGTCGTGTAACTCGCCTTATATACCTGGTCTTCTGTTCCAATGTTTTTAAAGAAAATTGTAAATGATGAATTTACTGAGTTTTCTTTAAATGATGAATTTAAAGAAAATTCTATACCTTAATTTTTATCAAAATCAAAAAAAAAAAGTAGAATGTTTTTATATCTCCCTTCATATTATATCGAACCATTATTTCTTTTGCCCAATTCCCACCAAAACTACGTAATGATAATACCAAATGCATTAGGTTGCATAGAACCAAACTAGTGATTTTGATAACACATTATTTGGGAATGTGAATCAATTAGTTATGCAAATTATTAAACAAGACCGAATTTAATAATTAAAAAAAAAAGCATAAATTCCCTAGATAGTCAGTCATGCATGCAACTCCAGCAATATTCCAACTTAATAGTTAATTCTTTAAAGTTGTCATTACACACACACAAAATAAATAATATTCAAAAATCTATGAATGAATTTGTAGGTTCTCAAAAAAAGAAGGTAGTTCCTCAACAAGCCAAGTTGAACACTCATCACCAACCCACTAATTATCTTCTTCAGTTGTTGGACTAATATATCTTATTGAACTCTTTTAACAATAGACACTAAGACTACATCTACATGCAACACATTTAATTTATGTTATCACTTGTTTTGCTTTATTATTATTTTTGCAAGGTCACACGCCCATTAGTATGTTATAACACCTGCTTTTTTTAGGAATTGTTTATAAAATAAAATTCCTTGTCTTTTGGGCTTGGGGCAAGGCGGGCAATGTCCTCTCCTCTCTGTATCTTTTTAATAAAATTTTTAAGTTGACTGCTCTTCCATCTGAATTCTGGAATAAAGTTTGAGGCTTAAAAAAATGGTTTCAAATAGAACTTATAAATTTATATCCCCACTGTAGAATGCCTTTCAGGCTTTTACTTGTTTATGTCATTATTAGGGAGATACTTCCTTACCTTATACAAAAAAAATAAATAAATAAAGATGATTAACCGGAGGGGCGTTTTCGTTATTACAACAAGTGAAGAGTGGAATAATCCCTGCACTGACCGTTGTTATGGTTATAGTCTCGGGCTTCTGCTTCTTAGTTACCCTTTCACATGCTCACGAGTCATGAGTCATGACCCCCCATCCCTCTGAAGCCAATGCAGCGGCTTTTGGGGTCTCTACGCCGGACCTTTTCTTCATGGCAGCAGCAACCTTTTGCAGAGAAACTCCGCATACTGTCCATGGATGGCCGCCTTGACGAGGCAATTCGATTCCTTCGCCACCCCCCTGGCGCCGCCCGCCTCCCGTTGACTTCTCAAGTATACATCCCGCTTATCCGAGCATGCATTAAACTCAAAGCATGTGCCCAAGGCAGAGAGATTCATAAACACATTATGGAGAGTGGGTTCGAGTCTGATGTAGTTCTACAGAATAATCTAATGATGATGTATGCTAAATGCAGGAATCTCGAGTGCACCCGCCAAATATTCGAGGGAATGACTGAAAGAAATCTGTTCTCTTGGACTGCAATTATAGGGGCTTACTGCAATTCTGGCGAAGCAGACAAAGCATTTGATCTTTACAAGAAGATGATTACAGAAGGATTTCGAGCAGATCAGTTCCTTTATCCTCTGATTTTGAAGTCCTGTGCAGGAATGAAGTCTTTAAGGGGAGGCCAACAGGTCCACGCAGATATTTTTAAGAGTGGTTTTCAGTGGGATGTTGTCATAACGAATTCTCTTATAAACATGTACTCGAAATCTGAAACTGTGGAAGATGCCAAGAGGGCTTTTGATGAAATGGTTACGAGAGATATTTTTACCTGGACTTCAATGCTTGTGGGCTACATTCAGATGGGCGATGGTCTACAAGCATTGAAACTTTTCAAAGAAATGATGCATTCAGCGGTTAGGCCGAATCCTGCTACTTTAGCAGGGATTTTGCCCCTCTTTTCTGATTTGGGAAGTTTCGAACTTGCAAAACAGATACATGGACTCATAGTCACAAGTGGGTTTGAGTATGATAAATTTGTTGGGACTGCTCTTATCGATGTTTATGCAAACTGTGGGGGTTTGGGGTATGGCAGGCTCATCTTTAATAGAGTAAAAGACAAGGATATAGTGTGTTGGAACACTATGGTCAAGGGCTATGCTCAGATCAATCTATTTGAGGAGGCAGTTGAGTTGTTAAGATGCATGCACATAGATGGAAAATCTCCCAATATAACAACTTGGGATTGTATCATTCCACAGTATCTTGAAAGTGGATTATCAATTCAAAATATTCTCAACACACTTAACCAATTGGAACTTTCAGGTATTAGACCAAGTGAAATATCTCTAACATCATTATATCAGATATGTGAACGTGTAGAAGGTATCGAACAGGTAAGGGAGTTTCATTGGTACTTGAGTAGATGTGGTTACATGTCAGACAGTGCTGTGGCTTCATACCTTATAAGCATGTACTCGAAATTTGCGTGTGTTGAAGATGGTGAAAATGTTTTTGAAGGCATCAGTTCAAAGGAACTAGACTGTTGGAATTCGATGATTGCTTGCTATTCGTACAATGGATATGCCAGTAAGGCTTTTGAACTTTTCAATTCAATGCAGAAGGCTGGGATAGAACCCAGTACTCTCAGCTGGAACACAGTAATTGCTGGATTCATTGATGCTGGTGATTTCTGGGCTGCTTTGGATACATTTGCCACTATGAGGTGGACATATCAAAAGCCTGACCATACAATTTTCAGTGCTATTCTTCCAGTGGTTGGTCATCTTACTTGTCCTATGACAGGGAAGCAGTTACACAGTGTATTTCTCAGAAATGTCGGTGAGATGAACACATTGGTGTGCACAGCCTTCATTAACATGTATGGAAACTGTGGGTACATAGACTATTCCATAAGGATTTTTGAATCAATTGATGCTAAGGATTTGGCATCATGGAATTCAATCATCTCAGGTTTGGCAAAGAGTGGATTTCTTGATGAGGCTTCAAGAATCTTCAATGAAATGAAAATGACAGGAGTAGCAGGGAACATTATCACTTGGACTACGCTGGTTTCAGCTTATGCACGGCATGGGGAAGTTGATGAATGTCTGAAGCATTTCCGTGAACTTCAATTGGAAGGACTAAAGCCCAACTCCATCACCATCTCAAGCATTCTTCCTGCATGTTCACAGTCAGCTATTTTATCTCATGGAAAATCTATTCACTGCTATATCATAAGAAGTGGAATTGGCTATGAGGATCTATTTGTTGCCAATGCCCTCATAGACATGTTTGTTAAATGTGGATCCATGGAGTATGCAGAGCGAGTGTTTAGGGGGCTTCCTCGAAGAGACATTGTATCATGGAATACAATGATTCAGGGTTTTACAGTTCATGGAAAAGCCAATGCTGCTCTGTCCTTATTTTATCAAATGTTGGAAGAAGGTGTAGACCCTGACAGCATCACTTTCTTAGGGGTTCTATCAGCATGTAGTCAAGCTGGGTTGGCTGAGGAAGGATGGAGACAGTTTAATAACATGGATTCAAGATATGGGATTATTCCTACTGGGAAACACTACACCTGCATGGTTGATCTCCTGGGGCGTGTAGGCAATTTTGAAGATGTTAGAAATTTCATTGTTCAGATGCCATTGCAACCCACTGCAAGCCTTTGGGGTGCTCTCCTCTTAGCCTGTAAGACCCACCAGTATGTAGAGATGGCCGAGTATGCAGCCAACCACCTCATAGAACTACAGCCTCAGAACCCAGTGAACTATGTAACATTAATAGATATTTATGCTACTGCTGGGAGATGGAATGATGTCAATAGGGTGAGAAAGATGATGGTAGATAATGGTGTGAAGGAGTTGCCTGGTTGTAGTTGGATTGAGGTTGGCAACTCTATCCGTGCTTTCACAGAAGAGAACCAATTGAGCCAAGATGTGGATGAGGATTTAAATAGTGTATTGGTAGATTTATTAGTTGTGATAACAGATGAAGAATATACCACAGAGATAAGACAATCCCTTTTACTGGATTAGAGACAGAAGAGAACAGGAAAAACCAATCTACATTGAAAAAATGTCAACAGTATTGTGGAGACAAATGCAATGCCGTGACAATGTCATAACCCATCAGCTCAAGTCATAGTTTTCGCATTCCAAAAACGGACATATGGACTTTACCAGACTATTAAATCATTTTTTCAAATGTGGAATGTGAAGGACATGAGAAGGTAGAAGGAACTAACAAAGACGAAAGTTTTCATGATATTCCCACAACATAAGCTTAGAGGTGAGCCAGCTTTCAGCTTTGTGAAATAAAGAATTAAAATAAGTTACCATTATTTATGGACAAACAATCATCATTAAGATGTTTATCTAGTAAATTTGAGAGGTCCAATGCACCATTTTTACCCACCAGAGAGGCAGTTCATCAATTTAAGGTGTCACTGAATTGACAATCATTGTCAAAAGCTATATTCTTAATTCAGCATTTCTATAAAATGTTATATGAATAAATTTTGGTCTTAATATATTAATGGATAAGGTTTTACACATTGGGTTGAATGTGTTTTATGTAAGGGAAATGTCAGTTTTATAAAATTCACCATGGTCCAGATTGTTTATTCTAGAACTGTATACACCTTAATTTTATAGTTCTTTATAATGTTGCTGTCATCCTCTAGCTTAGTTGGCATAAATGCAATATGTTTAAAAAATCTATCTATCTAAGAAATCTCTCTCTCTCTCTCTCTCTATATATATATATATAGACGGTCCACATCACCTTGCTTCTCTTTGCTCCATTGCCCCAACTCTGCATTCTCCTTGACTCTCTCTCTCTCTTGTCCCCCTTCCCACCACTCCCAATTTGCCATCTCAACACCCTCTCTCTTCATTCCTCTCCCTTGAGTCCCTTCCCATTGGGTTCTCTCTCTCCCCCCACAACTCACGTCTCTCACTTTCTATAACAACCTAACTTCTTTCCTTAATTAGCTCAATATATGTTTTATCCTCTCCTTCACTTCTATCTCTAATTCCCCTTCTATTCTCTCCACTTTTCCATAAAAATAGTCATAATTTATTAAGATTTGGTTTTCCAAATCAAACAATATTTATATCTATACACGTGGTTTCAAGCAAAGAGAGGGGAATAAGGGGAACTCGATGTTTCCTATATATTCATGGCATCTTCCATTATTGTTAAATAATCCATTAGTAATGAAAATTATTAAAAATTTCTGGAAAATGTTCTACCAAAAACTATGAAATAATTACTTCATAAATAATCCATTATTTAACAAATATTAAATAATTTAATAATCTACCAAAAATTAATAAACAATCCAGTATTTAATATTTTTTTGTTATTAATAAACAATCCATTATTTTTCAACATTTAGTGTAATTTACATTAATAATTGTAATTTAATAAATTTTCATTAAATTCTTACAATAATAATTTATTGATAAAAGATATTACTAATTTGCATTATTTAATAATTTTTATAAAATCAATAATTACAGTTAACAATTATCAAATAATTTAGGGAACTCTTTAACTAATTATCCATAATTATTTTTTAAATAAGTAATTAAAAAAATAAGAAATTAATCTATGAAAAAAATATTCTCCAAAACTATTTAAATAATAATCCATTATTATTCTTCAACTAGATAATGATTAAAAAAAATTAGGAAATTAATCTATCAGAATTTTTTCATAATTATTTAAATAACAATCCATTATTATTATTATTATTGTTATTATTATTATTATTATTATTATTATTATTTCAATAAATAATTATTAAATAATTTAGGAAAATTGTTAAGTCTATCAACACCAATCTAGACCACTTGGTTGACTTCGATCATACCTGGTTTTTCATTAATTAACATCAAATGGTTTACTTTTAATTAAAAATAATATAATTTACCATAATTATATTAATTTACTATAATTACATTTACTTTGATTAATAGTACATAATTTTGGCTTAAAAATTTTTTTTGGAAATTATCATAAAATATTATAATTTATTGTTACTTAATTTACTGCAAGTTAATTAGTTATAGAAAATTATTAGGATTGTAGGGATGTCAATTTTCCCTATAAAACTGGGGCCCTAGCTTGCCCTGCCCCGAACGGGGCAAGTTTTCTCAAATCTTAAATGGGAACGGGGCAAAGACAGGGTGGGGACAGGGAAAATATTTTTGCCCCAAATTAGGGATGGGGTTATATTGATTTTTAAAATATTTCCAAACTTTTCTTATAATCCTAGGATCCCATAATTTCATTTACAAAATACCCCCAAATTGTCACAATTCAATTTGTAAAATACCCCCAAATTCCCATAATCCTATTTGTAAAATATCTATAAATTAATTTTTTTTAGGTGGTTGCCTCAGGGTGGGAAAATTTTGAGGATTTTCCATCCTGACGGGGAATGGGTGTCTTGCCCCGAACCCGCCCCGCCATTGGGGTCAGGGCGGGGATGGAGTTAAGTGTCTTAACTTACGGGGCGAGTCACAAAGAGGGGTGCCCCATCCCGTGCATCACATTAATGCATTCGGTGCACTATATTCCAGGTTTAAAATATAGATAAAATACATCGGATACATGGAGTTTTGTATCGGTTTTTCAAATACCCCATACATGGCACAAGTGGAAAAACTCAACACCAATTTTCTCCCCGCTTATCAAAAAAAAAAAAAAGACGTATCAGCTTGATACGGTCTGATACAGACTAATTTGATGTATGTATCAGCCCATATATACATTAAAAATTTTGAATTCCCTCTCAATTTAAGTTTTGGATTTCATATTTAATAAGTCTTTAATAAATCTTCTATTAAATCATCAACCTGTTAAGCTTTGCAAACTTTGAATTTATCTCCCATTTGAATTAGCTAACCTTATTAATTCTCAAATTTTGACAGCAAGAATCTTACCACTACAGACAAAACTACATTAAAATATCAAGAATCTCGCACTACCACGAGATATTAGTGCTTTGCTTCCAATTATATATATATAAGACAAAGCAATAAAAAATCTTCAGTCGTTATAAAACAGTCCCTTAACCTTAAGTCTGTTAGTTCCAAAAAAAAAAAAGTCTATTAGTTCACGCTTCACATAAACTATTCAAGTGTGTGCTTACCTTATTTATGGTCGTTTTAACCTTAAATTTTGTGTTATTAATACATTTATAAGATTGATATTAATTTCCCTTATGTATCCATGTTTATTTCAATATTTCATCATATTTATGCATATCTAAAGTGTATTATGATCCACATCTTAATACTGTCTAGATCAAGGTTTTTAAAATGGATTGGACAAGGAACCGTTCAGGGGTCCGGTTCCCTGGTCGAACAGTCCAACTGTGAACAATCCAATTATTTGGACGGAATGAATGGCCCGCTTTGATAAAAAAAATAAAATATAAAAACAGAAAATAGCCAAAAACCATTGTCTGGATTGATGGTTCAATAGTTCAATCGCTTGGGTCAGCGGTTTGCTGACCAAATCAACAGCTTTTGACCAAATAGTGATTTTGGGGTGAAATGGAACCAATCAGGTGACCGTTTCCCGTTTTTCCTGTCCAACCGTCCAATCCAGTCCGGTTTTGAAAACATTGGTCTAGATTGTCTCTCCATGCTATGTAATACCAATAGTTTGAACCTTGGCTAAACTATAACCGATGTTCCTTTTTCTCTTTTTTAATGCAAAAAGCATTTTATTCTTGTTTACCTGTTGATATTTCTTGTTTTTTTTCTGTATTTATGAGATTGGAAAACTAAATTGAAACTCCCACCACCCAATACCCACTACAAAACAAGGAACAGTTTGATTCAATTAGACTATTTTCATGGTTCTTTGGTAAATCATTTTGCCATAACCGCATAAATACGCTTTAGAGAGTGCTTTCCACATCAAAATTATATCATTTTTGTTTATCTCACAGTTGTGTCCATTTTGAAAAATAAAATCATACATATTGGCAAATATCCCCCTTAGAGTTTTGTTGTACTGCATGCTGGATCTTGGTTGGTTCCTTGACCTCTTGGTAAGTTAAGGGTGTGTTTGAGGAAGACACAGAAACGTGGTTCGATTAATTAGGGTGATGTTTGGTATTGAGGTTGTTTCGAAACACTGCCATTCCAGTTCCACTCAGGCGTTGAGTTTAAATGTGAATTTTTCGTTTGGTTGAAACTGTTTTGAATTAAAAGTCATAAAGCATTTCTTCTATAAATTGGTGTTGGGGGAACATCAAAATGATGTTTCCACCCTAAGCTGCTCATTTGAAGTTGAATGACCTGACTCTTAATTGGCAGTGGCAGTGTAGAGATTTATTCTGATTATATACTAGCAAAAATGGGCATATACCATCGAAAACCCATAAAACCTACAACCAAAACAATGGGTTTTTTTTGTTCTGTGTTTCTAGAACCATCAGATATACATCTAGATGTTATCATGTTAATCTGTGCAACGAGGCAATCATCAGAAAACATTTATATTTTAAACTTGACCTTGGTTGAGAGATCAGTATAGTAGGATGGTGTCACATTGAATACAAACATTTCATTTAAACGTCTCAAGAATCAATGTCAATACCAAACACGGTACTGCTCAAAACACTTGTCCAATGCCTAGTCAGCATAAGACCCAACAAACAAGTTTCATGGCAAAACACATTGGCAATTTGACATCAAATGCCATTGCCTCTGTAAATGTTTGAGCCTGAAATGGAAATGGTACCAAACACAACCATTATGATGTGTAACGGAACAAATTGTCATCACCACGGGATTAGGTTGGATTTACACAGCATAGGGCAAGTGACAACCAAATCCTTATTACAGTTTGAGCAGGTTGGCTTCATACAGTTTATCTGCATAATGGCCATTATCCTTTGCTTGCAGCTGCATATCACATGCTCTATGCCTCAACATTTTTCAGTGTATGGCCTATTGCTTGCCAATGTAACCAGGGTTGTTACATGTATAACCTGATAATCGATCAAATTCAGTGGCAAAAAGCCTGTCTAAAAGTCCCAAGAAAAAAGTACAGGGAAAATGAGATGATTCCTCAAACAAATCAAGTTTGTGTAAAAATTACTACAATTGTTCCATAAGGACATTTTACCAATTAAGAACCGATAACAATAAAAAAGGAGCCTTATTTCACTCCAGCAAGTTCCAATTGTTCTAAGAGCAACACCTACCCACTGATACTTTAAAGCTTCTTCTATACTTCCCTCATGAATCTTTTTTTAGTCTGTCAAGATCAAGGAGGAAAAATGAGCAAGACATGAAAGACAAGCGTGAAGGAATTTTGAAGATCACTCAAAATCAGTTAAAAAAATGAAACATTGCAAGTGCCTCCATATGCCTAAATAGACTCAACAGTGAAACCAAATCTTCTCTTTATTTGTTTCTTTATTTACAGAGGCACAGAGCCCACTGCTTGGTGTGACAGTAAAATCTCGGGCTGACAAGTGTGAAAACACTTGTTCAAGTCTGAGAGAAACTACTTTGTGCCGAAAAAAAAAAAAGCCAAATGCTAGGTCTGTACCCAGTCAACTCCCAGGACCCCAGCTAGTTGGGGCCATCATTGAGTAATGGCCTTTCATTTTATATATTTTATTCCTTTTTCAAATTTGGCATTACCCAACGAAATCAATGGAACTATAATCCCTTGGGGTCTATCAAAGATGAGATGGTTCTCCAGATCCCATGCTTTTACAGAGTCATTATCCCTACCTCTCTCAGAAATGGATTAAATTCGGTACTTCCTAGTATTAAACATTGGATAAAATTAGAATTTCCATAATATAAAAACAAGTATCAAAATTCATAAAAATAAATCTATAAAGCATACCTGCTCTAGAGTTAGAAACATGATCACATTCCAAGATCCCAGTCGACCAAAATTTGGAATGAACCCCTTATAAAAAGCAAGAGGCCCCTGAAAAGATTAACCATCATCACCACAATGTAGTCCTTACAAAAATCAACTGGCCCCTAAAAAACATCAACCAACTGCAGAACTATGTATTAAAAGAATAGTTCCTTATTCCAAGTTTTCCTACAATGCCAACAGCAAATACAGAGACAACTCCTTTGGTTAATGGAATAAAACATGCTTGCTATTCACACAAGTTAGCTAGTACTGGTCAAATCTTTAGAGATGATGAGACAGCCTAAAGAATTGGATAAAAAACAAAAGAACCAGAACAATATTCACTTCTAGATTGACTATAAGAATGAAAAACGAAGCATATAGAGCAAAAACATCAACCCTTGTGAAGCTAGTAAAAATATCCACTAAAGCAACTCATTTGTTCACGAAGGATACATGACCCCCCCCCAAGGTTAATGTGTCTTGTTGGGATGCTACCTGTTGAAGATTAATTAGTTTTATGATGTTTTTCTGAGTAGATGTTTTATGTTAGTTGTTAGATAGGAGGTGGGGACCA